GGTTCTCTCACATTCCACCAGGGTGCAAAAGCCTACACTAGAGAGCATGCCCCGGGGCACCTCCGACACCCCAGTTCAACCGCGTATTGTTCTAATGTATTAGGAGTACGTACCAATTGCTGTAATCGACTGCCACGGCTAATGATTATTGCATATATAACTAAAGCAAAAATACTAGTACATACTAGTATATACATGGATACTAGTAATAAATACGAGTATTTAAAATTTTCCACAGAAAAAAATGTGGTAACTATGTAAAACGATATTAATACAATAAGATATTTATTTATTATTAATTAAAAAGTTATCGCGAAACGATGTACAATGCACCACCTAAAACGCACATACAAGTGCAAGGTACACCGTGCAATCACCAGCACAATGACAGTCGCCAAAAAGGAAAGAAGTTAAAACTAAACCCACGCAGACTGTTTCTCACCCATACGAGTAACACCTAGGCAAACGCATAGATGAGAACGCAGAAAGCATGGGGGGAGAAACGGGTATTAGTATAATTAGAGCTGAAAATCCTGAACTAAAAAATGATTAACTTATAAACTAGGCCTAAACGGGCTGTGACTCTACGAGTCTCATTGCTTACCTTATTAGCAAGGACTCAAACAAAAGGAGGAAGAAGGGGAGGGAATTGATGATGATAATAATTATAATAGTTACCACGTTGTGGTAAAATTAGAGTTGCAAAAAACCTTATACAACTCTATTACATTGCACACCGCATAAGGGCCTTTGAGCGACCCGCGGTAGAGCTGTGTTGACATGTAGGTATGAAATATGTATATATCTCGTATATATACATACACATTATGCGGTTATGAAATTGGATAATGAAAGAATATTTATTAAAAAATTTAATTTATTGAAATATTTAATTCATTAAAATATTTAATTTATATTAAAAAACAACCTCGGACGATTCCTTTCATTAAATGGCTGTTCTAATGAAAGAACGGGATTATGATCCACCACTTGACTGACAGAATCTATCCGTCGCGGAAGGGGTTTGTCTTCTTGCTCATTTTTTGGTATATCGATGTATCGAAATATCGAAGTAAATCGCGATTAAATAGACTAAGTACGAAGCAATGCATGTAATGTAGATCACGTTATATGCTTTATTTGGACGAAATCGGGTAAATGAATGCCCGATTTCATTACTAATATCGCGAGCAAAGACGAAGAAAGAAAAAAAGTGCTAATTAATAGCACTTTTAATTAAACGACTTTGAAACAAGAAGACCCTAGCCTGATATCTATATAATAATAATAAAAAATTCACAAGAAAAGAGCTAACTACACATATAGGGAACCACTCGTGAATAAAATCAAAGATCTTAATCACGGTCACTTTTGCTCGTTTTGAACGGAAGACATCTACGAATACAACCAGTAACCCGTGCCGATATGGACCTTTCATCCTCGGCATGATGGGCACCAGAGGAACTTAAAATTTTTCACTTACTACTTAAGAAGTTCTGCGATGGCTCCAAAACACTCGTCCCCCTCGACGTAGGTCGAATGATGTCGTGAAGTTGGTTGAAATTATTGTTGAAACGTTGAAACGTTGAATCGTTGAAATGTTGAATCGTTGAAACGTTGACTCGTTGAAACGTTGATTCGTTGAAACGTTGAATCGTTGATTAATCTGTAATTAAAAAGAGCCACAAAAGAAGTTTAATTATATGCTCCATATCAATGAAATACGTTCAATGAATGAAAATGATTGAAAAATATGATTTAAACGATGAACGAGAAGTAATGATTAGAATAAAGAAATATACTAACATGTGATTGTATCCAGACGAAGCTTTACATTCGTCGATAAAGATGATGAGGATGAAATTTTATATTCACACTTTCGACCAGTACAATATTTATCGCAACGCAATCCTCTTCCACCGAATTGGCCGAAAGTGTGTTAATAATTCTAACAACACGGCGAACAAATAGTTTTAACAAGAATATGACATAAATTCTTGTTTTCCAATTTACTAACGCGACCGAAAAATTCTAATCGGCGAACAACACTGACTCTAATTCGCGATTTTATTTTATTTTATTTTTAAAGCAATCTATTCGATTGCAAAAAAATCAAATCATTTCGCACAAGCACTGACTCTATGATCGCATTGCGCGCGATCAACAACTTTGAAGATCTGTTAAAGAAAAATTGTTAAAGCAAGCTGTGCCGTTTACTTCTACAATTTATATCGTATTAAATATTATATATTAAGTATAAAATATTAAATATCATATATCATATTGATGAAATTACATGACCTAAAATTATGAACTTGTATCTTTTGTATGTAATAATAATAATAAGAAAAAAGATGTCATTCAAAAGATGTAACTACAAAACTTTGTAAGCTGTATTAAAATAAATGAATATATAAAAGCAAACGATCAAAATCGCGTTGTATCTATCATTTAAAAATGGATATGATCGCGATAGGGATACGTTCACAGAAATATACTAATCGCATGGATACCTATAAATCAGAATAGATATAGCATTAAAATAAAACTAGACAAGAAGCAGTAATATTAAAATTATAATATTTTATAATGTTAATTAAACGATTAAACGTATCTTGAAATTTTATTCTATTTTAATGTAACTTTTATTATATTTTAATTAAATTTTTATTGTTCTTGGTGCTTTTTAATATTCTTTAAATTCAATGTAAAATATGTTGACAAAATTTTTAATGAATTAAAATATTATCAAAAATATTTTCTAATGCACCGAACGTCAGCCATTGGCCCGGCAGTGCGTACGTTGTATAATATAAAATATATAAACGTTCGCAATACCGATTTCCGGATCTCACCACATGGAGGTTGCTGCGTATGGAGATCCATTTATAAATGTATAAAAATTCATTTATACAAATCCAAGAGTATTATTAATATAGAATAAAATTAACTAAATTTATGAATAAGTATGTACAATGTATACAACGTGTATAAATGTAACCTGTGTATTCAACGCATAAATGCTGCGTATATTGAACTCTAATATGATATAAAATAAGATTAATAATCCATCAATGATTAAATCAAGCTTATGAAACATTTTATATAATATAAATGAGAAGTTAGACGAACTGGAATTGACGAAGAGAGAGCAGGTCTAAACACGTCTGGAAGGCTGCTTATCTGAACAAGAACTGCGTGACACATTAGTAAGAACGAACAGGAAGGTCGAGTCAAGGTCCCCGGTCATCCTTTGATAGTTTACATCTGCTTTTGCTGGTATGTATTTCCTAAATTCTCTATATATACAAACACATACATCGCGATTGATTTTTGTTTTTATAATTGTCATAGACTAGAAATTCGTAGACATTATTAGAGAGGAAATTTTGAAACTATTAACAATATCTTAATACTATGTCTCTCTCTCTCTCTCTCTCTCTCTCTCTCTCTCTCTCTCTCTCTCTCTCTCTCTCTCTTTCTTAAGAGCAACGCCGTATTTATTTGAAAACAGATAGACTTATGTGTGCGTGCAAAACGACAGAATTGTATTTTAAATATTATTTTTAGTGTACTACGTAATTTTCTTAGTTTGTATGCTATTCAAAAAGTTATTAAATCGATAAAATATTAGATCGATATTAGTAAAGTAGAAAATTAATTGTATGTAAATATATATGCGACCAGGAGTTATCGATATTTGTATCTGTCCGTAAGAAAAATATGTATATGTATGCATATATATATATATATTGTCAAAATCGTATATACGACAAAATACAATTGAACACGATTAATTAAGGAAAAACTATTAATTATAGCATCATTAAGAAGGAGAAAAATATCGATATCGCGAAAATAAAGGTGAAAAATCCGAGAAATAAGACGTCATAGCTCCAAATAAAAAGCCAAAACGCCGATTTTATTTCCGCGGATATCTTTTAAACAAGATAATGCCACAATTTGCAAACATACATGTGTGAAAATTGCATTTTGGGAAATCGATTGATATATAAAATAAAGATGTATGTTAAAAAAGAATATACTAATAACTTGTAATTAACGAGACGATGAAGGTCTGTTGCGACTGATACGACGAAACAATTCCAAATGGCGGAATCACCAATAGCAAGAAGATTAAATGGATCCAGGCGCATGCGCAGTACGCCACTTGTGCGATAACCTCCCCACTCCCATGAAGCATGTAATTTTTCGACCTATTATACGAAAATATGGAAAAATTAAAAGTACGATATAGGAATTTAAAAACTATTTAAACGGAGATTAAGTTAGTCCAAACTAACAAAATTAATCATTCAAATTCGATAACTATAGAAATATAACTGAAGAATACGAAAAAAGTTTAAATAATTTATACTTTCGATAATTTTATAATTATTTAAACAATGTATAATGAATACGGAACATAATATATTAATATTTAAATAATAATATATTTGTCTAAGCATTACATTGTTCGTAACACGCGTAAAGCATACAATAACTTTAACTTAATATTAAATTCACATTAATTTTAATCTCGGAATTGTTGGCTGTAATATCGATAAAAATGAACGACAGATTGATTTTGACGATTATCGAAACAGTTTTATTTTGCCTTCCAAAGAATAATCATCGAAATTCTATCTTCCCATCCAACTTCCCAGTTAAACTTAAATAAATTTCGATTTAAAACAATTTCAATAATTTTAGTATTATTAAACAATTTAAAACGTACGCGGATTATAATTAAATAATATTTAAACAATAGCACGTTCATTTAAACATTATGTAGCTCGAAACACGCATTAAATATAGTAAAAATATAATTAAATATTTAAATAGAATTAAATGTTGAACATAGCTTTTAAGACGCGTTGGACTTAGAATAATTTTCTTTCAACATGCGTCGATAGTTTAATGGCAACAAAAATAAACATTAGAAGAATCATGAGAGCGACAAGGTCAGTTTCCTTTCGTACTCCGAGGAGTAAACGTCGAAATACTGTCTTTCCGTATCGTCATTTAATCATTTTATAGATAAAGGAAGTATATTTTTATATCATACATTTCTTCAATAATTCATATAGTTTCTTGTTACAAGAATAATATTAATAATTTTCTTTGCATTTTTCTATTCCAGTAATCGTGCGAGTAACAATGAAGTAATCGATTGTTTGTTCCGCTAAAATAAAAAGTTCGCGAAGTAAAAGCAGTGTTTGTTCATCCGCGTTTCGCAATTTAAACAACAAGTAGTTTTGCATCGACTGCGCGTAATGCAGTCCTTAGAGTCAGTGTTTGTTTGTAAATTATTTTGCTTTTTTAACAGTCGCACAAACTGTATTTATAAAAAATAGTAGAGTTACGCGAAGTAAATTCAGTGATCGTCCGTTAATAAATAACTACCGCAAATTAGAGACAGACATCATTCAAGAGGATCTCAACCAACTTTGATGTCGACCTATCTCATTTTCAACCAGCTACCTTATTTTCAACCATCCACCCCTAATTTCGATCCACCTAAATCCTGGATAAGTGTTTTGGAGTCATCGCAGAACTTCTTAAGTAGTAAGTGAATTTTTAAGTCCTTCCGATCACTCAATCATGTTGAGGATGAAAGATCTGAATCGGCACGAGTGATTGGCTTTAATTAATTAGTAGAAGAGCATTGAGTGACCACGAGTAAATTTCTCTGGAGATTTATCCGTGAATGATTTCTTATTCAAACTTCTTGACTGATCTTGTTTAAACGCGTTAATTATAATTATTTTAAATTTCGAATATTTTATTTCATTGTTACATATTTTTCTCGTGTGAAAATAGTAAAAAATCGATATTAATGAGTTCTAATAAATAATGAGCAAGAAAACATTCGCAATGGATAGTCTCTGGATTACAAACGAAACTTTGCATGATTTTCTAATAATAATTAAAATACTCATTTGTAAGAAGGAACGTCTGAGAGTTTGCTTTACATTTTTAAATAATTATCACTTAAATATTTAATCAATTTAAATTTATACAAGAGAAGTCTCAATAGAATTATTGCTTTTGAAAGAGAAAAGTCGAATAAAGTATTTGCTAAAAAATAAAGAGACTTGTAGAGTTACAGTCCGTAGGCCGAGATGATAAGTTAATGAATTTTTAGCTCAGGATTTTCAGCAATTAATATACTAATTTTAATTTCTTTTACGTTGCAAAAAGGTATCTCTCGAAAATTTATTATATAATATAATAATTTTTAATATTAATATAATATCAAAAAGATGTAAATCTCAAGAATATGCTTATGTGTCTACTGAATGAGCAAACCTTCTCATGTTTTCGTCAATATGATAAATCAATGGATAATGATGTAAGTAGAATCCAAGAATATATATATTATTAATATTATTGAATGAACAAAAATGAAATAATAATCAGATAGCATAGCATAGCTGTCACATTGTTTACAGTAATCCAGGTTGAAATGAAATTTTTTTAATTAGATCCTTATAGATCAGTCTTATTTTCTTTAACATGTTTTTACATAAAACTTTTTATTTATGCTGATAATTTTTTATATATAATTAATATATACAATTTTTTTGCACCATGATTCTGAATTATGTAAGTAATAATAATGTTGCAGATGCTCAATTTGTGAAACTATAATAGTAAAATATTGACCAATGTACTATCACAGCATCTTCTATTTTACTTATGGATCTGTTGTATTTTATTGTATACGCATTTAATGCTCTGATTTTTATTTTTCATACTCAATAATTATTTTTAGTTCTTTCCAGTATTTGAAAACTTTATATGTCATGTGCATGTATAATTGCTGCATACATATCAGTATTACAATAAAATAAAACGATTCGAAATAGAAAAGAAAAGTTATGGAATGAAATACTTCTTTAATTTTTTGCCATTTTCACAATCTTAAATAAAGTCATAATCATATTTTCCAAGAACACCTAATTGTAAGAACGTTAAACCAATCAATAAAGACCAATTCATTTGATCTTTTATGTAATCTACTTGGTTGTTATATCTATGCATTATGTCCTTCTGTATATATACACCAACAGGATCTTTTTCTTTATTATTTATGCAATCTTTTTCACATAATAATCTATTAATTACATTCTTAGAAGATATTATTTCGTTACCTATATAAAGGTCAAACAGTTTTACAAGTTTCTCATGTTTCAGGAGGTAAACATTCTCTGGGAGTGATGAAGTTTCGTTATTTTCTAATTTCAACATAAAAACTATTAATTATTATAGAAATGTACTTATAGAAATTCAAATAACTTACTATTACTTTAACAATTATCATTAATCGTAAAATTAACCTACCCTTTGATAAATTTTTTTCTGATAAGAAAGCTAAAATCATTGCTTTCAATTTTTCTTTCTGTAAAAATATTCGTGTATGCTTTATAGATTTCGACAAGTTGTAATTGAAATTCAATTCATCCATTACATAAACATCAGCCTTAGGAATTTTAAACTTTAATTTCCAAGCCTATTATAAAAAAATAATCTTTGATATTATATCATTGATGTTAATAAAATTCTTCAAGTAATATAAGTGATATAAAAAGTTTATACCATTATTTATAAATATAAAATATTATGTGATTAATATTGATTCATTATATAAAAAATATATATTTAACATTTACCAAATTAAATAGTCCAAAAGTATCATCATTTTTTGGAATTTGTAAAAAATTTTCATAATTCCAGTCCAATACATTTTCTTCAGATTCAAGTAATGTCCAACTAATAATATTTGTTCCTACATGAATTCCCAATATAGTAGATATTTGCTAAAATAATATTAAATAACGTTTACTCATCCATCATTTTAATATTATATTTTAAATAAGAAATAGTAATTCTTTTACATCTTGTGGGATATCTGCCAAAGGTAAAATAATTGACTTTTTAAAATTGTGCATTATTTTAAACTGCTTATCATTAATAATTGATTGTATAAATATATTTAATAACTCTTTTGTCATATCTTGTACTTCTAATATATCTTTTAATGATTTATATGAACCATATTTTTCACGATATAAGTGCAATTTAATTGCAAGCGATTGAGGGATCCGATACCTATATAAAAATTATTTTATTATATACTTTATAATAAAATTATACTTTATTATAAATTATAATAATTCTAAGATTCAGATGAGTTATAAAAACAAAATATACCTTTTAAAATAATCAATTGTTTCATCATTTAATATTTTCAAAATATAATTATTATAGGGATAATTATCGTGTAATTCATTCTTATTTCTTCTATTAGAGTGCATCAGTCTACTATAAGGATATAATACAAATCGAATTTGTTTTACAGATAAATTACAATTTGTATATTGTCTAAACATATCCAGTTTTTGTACTAGAATCATACAAAAATAGTTTGTAAAAGAAAAATAAATTGTCTTATTCTGTTTTCTTAATTTTACTTATACAATTGAATAAAAAGTTTGTGTGAATTAAAATTTATCATTTTTTAAATTACATCAATTTGTAATGATCATTTATAAATTACATAATATATATACATTACATAATATTTATATATTACACCTATCCAAAATATTAATATTCTAAAATATAAAATGTATTTTTCACTTTTATAATTTTTTTAATTGGTAAACAAAAATTATCATAACCTAATTACAATTAATATAAAAACTCATGCATAAAAATATATTATCATATAAACTCCATAAAATCATAAGAATTATTTCTATTTTGTCTAAAACAGGCAGAATATTAATTAAAATAAGCTAAAAAAATACACATATGAATTTTCATGCAAATATAGGTTAAGAGCAACATACAGTTAAAACTTCTGTAGTTAGCTATAATTCTTCCAACTTTTGTCGTCATAAAATTAAATATTACATTATCGTGACATTTGATTTGCTGTATCAACATTTTTGTCACGAAATTAAAACAAATTTGATTTTCTATTGATATTTGAAAATATCATGTTGTCATACAGAGTTGCAGTGGCAAAAACCATGACTTTTACTATGATATGAAAACGTACCTTAAGATTGACCACACACTTTCCATAGCAGGATTTCTATTCTACGTTTGCTTGCAATATTGTTCTCCGTTTTATGTAAGGCAGTATTACAATATTATATACGCATACGATTATTTTTGCTATCTTTTTTAACTGTCACTGCCAAAGTGTACGGTATAAATCGTGTATTGCATCGTATATGCAAAATAATGTATAGTTGTATTTACGACTATTAGAAATACGCGATCATTCGCAATTTGCTATTTACTTGCATAAATACATCATGAATAGATTCTCAATAGCAGTAAGCTTTCTACCTATCACATTGTTGGATTCAGCCTCTGTAAAGTAGCAATCGAAAAATTTAACATTTCGGAATTATATTGTTACAGTTTTTACAGATAGCCAATCAGATTGCGAGACGAGATATTGTCTGATGTTATAGTTCGGCGCGATAAATGAAACATCCAACTACGTAAATCATAGAAATTATTTAGATTAATACTTCGTTTTTTGATGGTAGTTAGCAATAAAAACAATTAAATCTTATGTATAATACAATAAATGAAATTAAATAAAGTTGGATTGAAACATCAAATCAAATATAATTTAAAAGATTCAAATATGGATTGAATTAGGTTGGAACAAATCTAGTGAAATCGTTTTTCCGGTATTGGAGCTAGTATCGTTGTTGCATTGTTTGTTCATCGTTCGTTTAGGCGCATTGGCGCGAGAACGTCGGATGTGGTCTGTTTATAAGGTTGATCACTCTTGTTAACGTATTGAAAAAGGAGAGAATAATTATTGATATAAATATACTTTTGTTTAATTTGATCCGAGGTTATATAATAAAATAATCAAAATGTTTTGGGGTAAATAATAGCATTATTTATAAAAATACATATGAATCTTTGTCTTAACTTTACCGGTACTATTTGCCAAGAATGGCGTCGCCATGTGGTTTTAATAATAAATTATAAAGTTTAAAAAAGGAAAAATAATTTATAATATCTCTACATGTTTTTGATCAGTATAATATATATATTTATTCTTTTTTGTAGGTCTAATAATGGAACCGAATAAACGGTATACTCAAACCGTTGAAAAATCATTCCACGTGTCTATGGCGACTTTAGATGTTGCAAGCGCCGGTAAATCAAGAAATATGCTTTACATTGTTACTTTTATATTTGTAATTTCTTTCTTACTCTATTGAATTTAATTCTTTTTGTTTTTTATATACTTGATTATTTTTAAAAAGTTACGATAGAATTTATTGCTGCAATCAATAATAAAATTCATACAGTTAATACAATTTCAAATGTCAAAGTGTTATTAAATAATATTGAACAGACTTTAATTATATAAATACTTTTTTCTTTCTAAAAGTATTTTTTTAATTAGAACTCATATGATGTATAATTGCTATTGCAGATGACGATGTAGTACAGGTGACTGTATGTTATGATGGTACAAATTACTTACTTTGTAGTTTAAAGAAGGGTTCAGTATGGCAAGTACCACTTGATTTGCACTTTCAAGAGGGAACTAAAATAGCTTTCACATGTAATGGCCACAGTCGTGTACATTTAACTGGATATTTAATACCAGATGATTTAATTGATGAAATAGAAGAAGAAGAGGATGAGGAAGAGGAAGAAAAAGTTCAACAGTTAATTGATAGACAATCAAAGAGAAAAGCAATAGATTTTCCAAAAGGAAATAAAAAAGTAAAAAGAGTGAAAAATGAAGTTGAATCGTCGGAAGATGATGATTTGGAATTAGATGGAACAAATAATGATGAAGATTCTGATGAGGAAGAGGAAGAAGAAGGGAAAGAAACTCTATTGATTGAAGAAAATATTAATGAAGAAGAGGATGAGGAGGATGAAAGTGATGATGATGATGATGATGATGATGAGGACGATGATGGTGATGATGATGATGATGATGATATTATTGAAGAGGAAGAAGAGGAAAAGATACAAAAAAAATCTACCAAACAACAGCAACAGCAGGGAAACAAAAACAAGCAAATACAACAATTACAGCCTAAAAAGAAGCAAGATAAACAGAAATTGTTAAACGGAAAGGATATGAAACAAGACCAACAAAAGAAGAATAAAGGAGAACAGCAACAGCAAAATACTCTAAATGAACAGAAGAAGAGGGTGGTTGAGGGAGGTGTACAAATAAAAGATATAAAGACAGGCAATGGTGCATTTGCGAAAGCAGGAAAATTTGTTTCTGTGTACTTTGTAGGACGATTGCAAAATGGCAAGAAATTTGATGCCACTACACAGGGAGATGGTTTTAAATTTAGGCTCGGAAAAGGTGAAGTTATCAAAGGATGGGATGTAGGCATTTCTGGCATGAAAGTTGGTGGAAAGAGACAAATTACAATACCTCCAGCTATGGCGTATGTATATTTATCGTGATTTAATACATAATTATGTTTTGCTTAAAAATGTTTTGCTTCTTTCTTAAAGTATTATAGTTGTTCTTAATTATTAGTATAAAAGATCACAACAAAAGCTATGTAGTATGTCTATTCTATAACATAATTATTTTTTAGGTATGGCGCTAAGGGTTATCCACCTGCTATTCCTGGCAACAGTACGCTTGTTTTTGAAGTTGAACTAAAAAATGTCCATTAACATGTAATTGTAATCTAACAAATATTTGGATACTTCATATAACTATAATTCTAAAAGATTTTACTACTTATTTATCAACATATAAGGATGTATTAAAAATGTAATATTTGTTAAATATTTATTAATAAGAAAAAAATCTCCATAGGTTATAATATTTTTAAAATATTCATACAATATTAAATTTATTTGTCCTAAATGTGATGTTTATTCTTGTAAGACGATAATATTTGCATTTTTTCAACGGATTATCGTTTCCATAATTTACAAGCCATTATATTATAAAAGTTTCATTAAATTGGATATTATCAGCATATACAATTAGTAATATCTTGTGATATCCTTATATGTTAGTGGATGAGTATTAAACTATAATTAGGCAGAGTCATGAAATGCGTAAAAAAATGCCTAAAAAATAGATTAAAACAGTTTTGAATTGTTGGAACTATTGAAACAAGGTGTTGATGTTTTTAATAAAAAATTATATTAATGCAATGCATTTAATATGATGTATACAGTCAACATATGTTTGAACATTCAAGGTATAATGTATACAAGTATAACATCTCGTATATCTCAGTATAAACTTACAAGCTACTGTTGAGTATTAAAAAAGTAACTAATGTTTACAAATAAATTTTACAAATATTCTAGCTCTGGTATATGTTTATTTTAACTTTTATAATGTCATTAACAACATCGATTTTCAGGGCATATACATCAAAATAGTGTACACATTAAATGTATTTAAATGTATTCATCAAAAAGATATTGTCTAATAAAATTTTAACTTTATACATTCTATAAATTCTATTATGAAAAAGAAGAGAAATTGAATATAATATTTTATTAATTTTAAAAGATACATTTCTGTCAATAATATGTCACATATTTTATTAATATGATTTAGTTCATATACATTCTGTTGGAATTAAACTTCAAAATATTAGAAATTAACTAAACACAAAAATATGAACAAGATACATGAAAAAAATAAAGCTCTGCACGGCCTTTGGTATCTGTATAGCAGTACATTTTGGAATGATTTTATAACTTTTCTTGATGAAATTTTAATTTGTTTTTACAGGATCTTTGTTAGTTTTTTTCCATCCTAATGTGCATACTCCATTTTTACAATCTTTAACTAAATCTGATGGTTGTTCATCTTCATTTGTACATTTGATCTTATTTTTAAATTGCCACCATCTTAAAATAAGTGGTTGCACTAAAAATCTCCATATAATCAATAATAAAGGAATAGCAATGCATGGTATACACGCCATTTTATTCGTCTTTTATTTTCTTTTATAACCTGTAGCATATAAATTATCATATTAATGACATGAATACACAAAATATATCAATTAAGAAATCATTTAAATGCAGAATATTAACTTCGTATCTTTGTTCAATACAATTTATTACTGTTTTATCAATCAATATTATAGATGGTTTACTTTATCTAGTAATAAATTAATATTTATTTGAAAACAAATGCATAACAACTGCGTAACGATAAATGTATTATCTATCATTAACAAGTATTAACCTTAGACATAGTATCACATAGAGTGGACATCGATAATAATGTTGTATTTTTCCCGTTGTAAGATCAGTGATTCCTGCCATATCGACAAACTTCGGAGATAGCACAATTGAAATCTCAAATGAGAAGAACAAAAATAAAGAAAACATACCTCGAAGAATTGAATTATCCATACTGTATAAATTGCCATAATTACATAATTTAGTGTATCATCAAAATATTAGGTATTAAAATTTTTTTACTCTTATTGAAACAATATTAAATTTAAATCATATATTTCGTTTTATTTGTCTTATTTAAAATATTATTAACAAATAATTTAATTATTTAATAACCTAAATTTGAAAAATTATCTTTATAAAAGTAAAAAATGCGTCATGTCGAGTGAATAGCTGATCCTTTCTTGTCATTATCTCCTTTTATAAGTAGATGATAATTAACTTTAATAATAATTCTAAAAATTCAGTTCTGTAAAGACACTACTTAGGATCAAATCTTTCATTTCATAGTTAATATAAAATACCCATCTCACCGATGAAATTTCGTTGTAACAATAATCGTCAGTGGCGCTAATATTGAAATAGAGCAAAGATGTAAGATTTTTAGGATCCTAGATAATACAAATTTTTAAAAATTTTACTTCATAATAAAAGAAGACAAAAATTTATTTTTCCGATATTTCAAAATTAAATGAAAAATAAAAAAATATATACAATACTATAAAAATATAAAAAATAATTAGTAAAAGTAACTAAATGTGAACATTTTAATTTGGCGCAACGAAAGTAACGTTTTACTATCTTAGTATGTTATTTTTGTATTACTAGTACTTTCTGTTTTTAAGGGTTTTTGTTGTTCTATTTTTTCTACATCTGTGTGATTACATCTCTTTGCTGCAGATATAATTTATAAAATAGTAAAAATAGTAATAATAATTTATAAAATGGTACAATGTGTGTATTTTTGTATGATTGACTCGTACAACGCATATTTTATATGGTATAGTAATTATATATTGAAATATATATCATATGAAAAATGAATATTTTATTATTTATCTAAAAATCTGAAATTTATATAAATAATATATTTTTTAAATGTTATGTAATTAAAATGCGCATATCAAAGTAGCGACCATTTTATTTTCATTATTGAACTGGTTAAATAGTTCATTTTATGTCAATGATTAGAAAGTTTACGTATATTACATTTGTAAATACGAGAAAACTTTTAATAAAAATATTTGTTACTTATTACATTTATAGATATATATGTTTTGATCCATGATATTTTCTACGTATAATATGTTTTTTGTTAATAATAAATATGTTTTATAAAATTACCTATTACGAAATATTAGGATTTAAAATGCATAATATTCTATTAATATTTAGAATGTACTAAACATAAAACAGTTAAAGCTAATTAACAATTTATAAATGCGTGATGTAGTTTCATTTTATTTTATATCCACCTCTATCATCTGATGATTTATAATTAACATAATAAACTATGCAGGTTGCTTATAAAGAATAAAGAAATTGAAAATTTTTGAAGGCATATAAAATATAATAAAAATCTATATACTTAATTAAAATATGAGCAAGATAAACAATACAGAAATCAATACTTCAAAGATAAAAAATGTAAAAAATAATTTACGACGGGATCATGAAATAGATAATCCATGTCTAAAGGTATTTTCTAATGACAAAATGTTATTTATTATAAAATAACAATAATAATATACTAAAAAAACTATATAAAAAAATAATAATATACTAAATATGATTATGTAAAAATTAGGAACACGATTTATCTTTACAATGCTTGAGTGATAATAATTATATTCGTGATGCTTGCCAAGATTACTTCCAAAATTATAGGATTTGTCAAAAATTCTGGGTAATATTTATATGAAATTTATATATTAAAATAATTTTTTCATAAATTTAACTATATGAAATCAATTTGTGTTACAGAAAAAAATAGTGGTTGATCGTAAAAGAAAAAATATCAAACCTTATCTTCCATCTCCAGAAGATCGAGAAAATGTTAAGAATGAATATCTCAAATTTAATATTAAATAGTAATTAATCATGTATATGTATTCATATATATTTCAGAAGGTGTTTCAGTGATTACCATTTAAATTATTGATTTTAATAAAGTTTGCATGTACAAATGTATTATTTAAAATACAATTGTTATTACAGCAAAATTATAAAAAATTTGTTATTATTATTGTAATAAATTGTAATAAATTGTATAAAATGTAAGATATTTTAAGTTTTCTCAACGGTTGAATATATTTTTGTCTATATTTACATTATACACACTTTTACTTTAAAAATATTGCTTATTTTAATTATATGTGTTATAATTTTTGTTAAATAAATCTGAAATTTATTCAAGAATTCATAAAGATGCATGGTTAGAAGAAATATTGTATTATTGTATGGCACACTAACAACAAATCATAATAATTTTTGCAATTGTAAAAATTATATTATTAATACAACAATTGTATTATACGTAAATAATAAATACATCTTTTTTTTAAAGTATACACTTTGGCCTTGGAGTGAATACATTTATATTTATATAATATCATAAGTAACATTTTTTATCAATATTTATATATGTAGTTCAAGATTAATGTATTTATTTTATTTTCCTTGTACGTAAAGTAAAATTGAGATTTCTAAAGTAATCCTTACGTAATTGCTTATAAAGTAATCGTCTTGATTATTTTAATTATATTTCTTGAATTATTAAGAACCAAAATAAATTAACACGTTTAATGTTATTCAAATTTTTTCAGTAATATTATAATAGCCAAATACTCAGTACTCACAATCAGTTCAATTATAAAGTCATCTGGTGATTATTTTTTGGCATAATTTAAAAAAATGTTCTCAAACATATTTTCAACTGTTAATTCAATAAGATAAAACATATAAACATGTATTCACGATATACATAAGTATACAAATAACTATCAATACAAAACATATAAGGAATAATACCTGTAAGAACTAAAAACACATTCAATATATATATGTAGTGAAATTAGTGATATACAGGTGAATATTCACACGTACAGATAAAGTTAAGCTAAAAATTATAGTAAAATAATAATATATGAAGTCAATAATCAATAAATTAAACAATTTTGCTCCATTACTTAAAGGAATTGATGACATATTTAAATTAATATGACATTTATCAGGTGTCAAGTAAAGGAGTGTATGCTTACAATTTTAAATAGTTACATTGTAGTAATATTAGACTTAAATTACTTCGGTTTCCTATACAAGTGAGTTATTATTTGATCTATGATTTTCGTATGTCACTAACCATTGGGTTCCAAATATTTCCTTTTCTTTTTATTCTTATTGCCTCTTGTCCGTTCTGTTGCTCTTTTTATTTCTAACAAGTATTATCCACAAGTAGTCAATCAGAATGATCCTTTATATGGAATGTATGAATTCGAAAATGACGGCACATTTGGCGCACCTAAAATAAATGTTTATTCTCCATTTATTATTAAATCATTGTAGAATTCTAATAACATAATAAAAATGTAGACATACCACACAGGTACCATAGTGAATGTGGGCAAGTAAGGATAAAATTGATACAAAGTACATAGATTTAAGATCTATTTCAGGCAAGACAAATGAAAGAATAGCTGCTATTGTCACCGGTAATAATATCCATGGCAATATTTCACATCTAGTATTGCTCATTTGAGACACAATTAAACGACACTGTAATGTATGAAAAATAGCTTATTTAAATGTCTTTATAAGCAAATATTTTTTCATACATTTAAAAAAAAAAAATTGATTTCTAAATTTTATAATACAATTTGTAATATTATCAAATTATACATAGTATAAGATATATATATATATATATATATATATATATATATATATATATATATATATATATATATACAGATAAGTAGTTTTTGTTCACCAAAATATTAGATTATAAAAACATATTTATCGATTAAAAACATATTTCTTGTTTTTATTATATAAAAGTATTATTTAATACTGACTTACGCATATATTAGAAAAAGTAGTGCCAATGGCA